GCTTAAGCGTGTGACCCCCATGTAATTGGAGCAAATCCTCCGGGGAACAGGGGGACCACCACCCCAGTCTGCCAATCCAGGGGAACTGCCCCCGATGTCCATGCGATATTGCAGAGTCACATCAGCCAACACAACCCTGCAACATCCAGAGCCTTAAGGAACTCCAGGCGGATCTCATTCACCCCCGGGGCCCTGCCACCGAGGAGCTTTTTGACTACCTCGGCGACCTCGTCCCTAGAGATTGGAGAGCCCAACCCAGAGTCCCCAGGCTCAGCTTCCTCAATGGAAGGCATGTTGGTGGGATTGAGGAGGTCTTCAAAGTATTCCACCCACCGGCCCACAATGTCCCGAGTTGAGGTCAGCAGCACACCATCCCCACTATAAACAGTGTTGGTGCTGCAGTGCTTCCCCCTCCTGAGACGCCGGATGGTGGACCAGAATCGCCTCGAAGTCATGCGGAAGTCTTTCTCCATGGCCTCTCCAAACTCCTCCCACGCCCAAGTTTTTGCCTCAGCGACCACCCGAGCCGCATGCCGCTTTGCCTGCTGGTACCCATCAGCTGCTTCTAGAGTCCCACAGGCCAAAAAGGCCTGATAGGCCTCCTTCTTCAGCTTGACAGCATCCCTCACCGAAGGTGTCCACCAACGGGTTCGAGGGTTGCCGCCGCGACAGGCACCAGCAACCTTGCGGCCGCAGCTCCGATAAGCCGCCTCGGCAATGGTCCACTCAGACTCAATGTCAATGTCAATGTCCCCCATCTCCGGCAGAACTTCGAACACGTTCCGGAGGAGGTGGGGGTTTACTTGAGTAACTTCTTTTGAAAAAATTTACTTTGAGTACGTTTTACTTTTATTCGAGTAAATTTGATTGAAGTAAAAAGAAAAATTTCTGGATTCTCTGAATGAAAAACATGTTTTAGCCAAAATCCACCAGACACAAACCTGCAGTTTTTGTTAAAGTTTAATAAGTTTGTTATTGAAACAAACTGATTTGGAAACATTTTATTGTTAGTTTTTGTTACTTATATGAATTATTGTAGTTTTTGTCCTTAAAACACCAAAATTTCCACTAAACTTTATATTTTGTTCCGTCTGATTATGTAGCTTTTAAGTATTAAATGATTGATCATTTGAACAGTTACTCAGTACTTTTTACCAAACACTTTTTTACTCTTATTTGAGTAATTTCCTGGACGGATACTTTTTACTTTTACTTGATTAAAATTATGTTGAAGTACTGCTACTCTTACTTGGGTATAATTATTGGCTACTCTACCACCTCTGCTCAAGTTAACGATTAATCGGTTACTGAATTAGTTGACGATTATTTCAAAAATCGATTAATCTTTTGTTTCACCTCTGGATATGTTTAGTTTTTGCTGTTGTAAAGGACACTTTGCACCCGTTTCCAGGTCGTCTCTCTGCTGGAGGCCTTTTATAAATCCCTCTGGCTGATTTTAAAGCAGCTTGTTTTCCTGCAGAGGAACAAACTGTGCGTCTTTCCTGCTTCCAGCGAGTGAATCACCAGCAGCCCTGAGCTCCAGAGCGCTGGACTGAAAACCTGCAGTCAGAATCATGTTGCGAGTCAGTGGAGCAACGAGAGGAAATCTTTAAACAGAAGTCTCTCTAGCTGGGTGGGTGGTTAGAACGGTTCAGAGCGATGCTGGGATTGGGATTTGTCTGAGCAAACCCAGAACAATGATGCAGATTAAAGTAAGTAGAGATGCTCAGATCTGATATTAATATCTGTATCGGTACCGTTCCCCATCCATAAGGGCAGATCTATTCAGTCTAATTCTATGCTTTGTTATTTATATTTACATTTCTAATTCCACGTTCTGAACCATTTGAAAGAAAAATTATTGCTTTATTCTTTATATGTTTGACCAAGGTAGTCAGCATATTGTTTCTCAGTTTCTTTATTATTTATTCTACATTAGCATTTTTACTGACTGGACAAATTAAAGTTGGTTTTCTACGTTTAATTGTATTTTAAAAAAACAAAATTTCAAGTCAATTCAGCACCGTTTTCCTGATCGATATTGGCCGATGGGTGAAAAGAGTTGATCAGTGCATCCAATAAATGTACAGATATTTATTGACACAAAGTTGGTACCAGTATCTTATCTATGATCATGTGGTAAGATCAATACTTTAGTTTCAGATTTCCTCCTGGAGTCTGATTTTAGTTGCTCAGATCTACCTACAGAATGATGTTTTGCACTTTGCTTTAGGAAAAGATACACAAATGTATTTTATTTTTCTATTTTTCTGTTTATCACATTAATATTTTATTAAAGTATTTTGTAAACCTATTTCAACTTTGTCCAGATTCCATTAACAAAATAATTTAAAGAAAAATCCACAAAAACTTCAAAAGATCAGAAGTTTGATAAACTTAAATCATAAAAAGTATTGGTATTGTATTGGTATCGATATCGATATCCGTATGAATATCAGTGACACTGGCCTTGTATTTATTTAGTTTTGGATCAATAAAAATATCTCGAATAGCTTGGGAATAAAAAAAAAAGCATTTTTTAAAAATAAAAAATATCTGATATAGTGTGGCTGGGGAACTAAATTTCTACAAAAACGGAGGGAAAATAAATATTTTAAAAATATGCTGGTGAAATAGTGTAGTTTGAAAAAACTACACGTTTGGCTGGGGAATCAAATATTTGCATTGGAGAAGAACATGTGGAGCATGTGAAGTAGAAACTGAATTACTTCGATGTAGTTGTACATGGCCAGATCTGCGATGGCGTGGTCGTCAGGGACCCGGACCCTGCTGTACTCTGGCAGCACCGCACCTGTGCAGGTAAAACCCAGAATGACTCTGTTACCGGCTCCGGACTCTTTCTGCACCAGTGGGTTTTATTTAAAAGACATAAAGACACTTACTGAAATCCTCATTGAACTGATTCATTATTTCATCAAAGACAATGCAGTCTTCAAAGCCCTGAAAGCAAAAAAGAAGGAAAGAATATCAGTGATTCTTTAATAGCTATGAACAGATCTAAAGTGATTCTTTGTTCACGTTTTGATCGGATCTAAAGTGATTCCCCGTCAGCCCGCCTCCCGTGCTCGGCGGTACTCACGGCGTTCATCCCCTGGCCGTAGAAAGGCACCACAGCGTGGGCCGCGTCCCCCATGAGGACGCATTTATCCCCGATGTGATACGGGGAGCACTTCACGGAGACCATGGCCTGAGCAGGCAGGCGGAAATAATCCCTCCTGAGGGTGGCGCTGCAAAGGACAAAAGCAAACAAAACAATTACAAACTTCCTGAGAGCAGCTGATCTAATCTGATGTTTCCTTCCTAAACAACGGAGTCGCCCTGCTTGCAGTGGAAGCGTCTGTCACAGCTGGGTGCCGCAGAGCAGCGCGATCTGTCCGCTGTGGTTTAATGAAAAGGTAACGGGGGGAAAGCCCGCGCTGGGCTGCTCACACCTCACCGCTCCGAATAAAAGTCTCCGGCTTTATTAAGGCTACTTGCATCCTGCCGACTATCCGTCACCCGCAGAAAATTAAACGCCTTGCGGCGGCAGGAATCTGCGTGAGCATTTAATTTCACAGTCCGCTGCTGATGCGCCCGCCTTGGGTGGGGTGACGACGGCTGAAGGTGTTTCTGACCCAACAGGTCGGGATGAAGAGGCAGGAAGGAGGAAGAGGAGACGCCACGTCACAGACAGAGGAAGGTCGCTTACGCTCCGATTAGCGGGATGGCGTCAGGGAAGTATTTTTGGAAAAACTCGATGACTTCATCTCCTGTGGAGATTTTCTCAAACTCTTCAAAGGGCATGAAGAGGGTGCAGGTAAACGTCTTGTCCTAAAGCAGAAAATCAGCGAAAGATGCATTAATGTTATCCTTAAAACACATTTAATGCGGCCCTGTAGACCAGGGGTGTCCAAACTTTTTGACACGTGGGACAAAAGTTCAGAAGAGGATTAGGCCACTGAAAAAAATAATTCTGACTTTAATCTCAGAAAAATATTAACTGATTAAAATTAAGAGATTAAAGTCAGAATTGTTTTTCAGAAACTTCTTCCATAAATAGTAATTACAGACCATAAAAAACAAATTAAAATCAAGGGTCATTTTAAATTGCTTCTTAAAACTTATTTCATTTGTTGCCATTTAATTAAGTCCTGATACTGTAAACTTTTCTGCTGTGATGTTTTATTTTCTTTCTTTTATTTTCTTCAATTTATTCTTGTGTTTTTGTTTTTGTGCAGCACTTAGTGCAGTTTCTGTCATGAAGTGGTTTTGGTGAGGAGATGACGCTGAGACCCAGGTGAAATGATGAATTTGATGAGTTTAATGAAGAAGCTTGGAGCAGTCCAGGAACAGGACTGCTCCGAGCGCACAGCGATAGCCAGTAGCACTGAATACAAAGACTGACAATACTTGAGCTAACGCCGACCAGGACTTGATCAGTTCAACTGAGACGACGGACAGACTCAGCAGCAAACACTTGACAATAGACAACATTAGACAAGGACCCGACAAGAACACAGACAACAGGTGGGACTAAGTGCACACAGGGGTAATCAAGGCAACGAGACACACCTGGGAACAATCAACGGGGAGAACAGAGACACAGGGAGCAAACTGAAGACAAAAAACTCTAAAAATAAATACACAGAAACACGATCCTGACCGTTTCAACCTGTTCTTAAAAGTCATATATTGATAAATTTGACATTCAAAGTGGACTGATATTTATTGCGGATACAAAACTTTAATTTTTTTTATTACATATTTTTAATACATATTAAATTTAAAAAAAATGTCCTTGTTTTTCTAGAAAAATTCTGGGATTACTCTTAAACTTTCTGAGATTTTTGGCAGAAATTTACAACATACTACTACTTTAATTTTGCATGTTTGCTGTATGAAAAGAAATGCTTCTAGTTTAAGCTTTTTATTGAAAATTGTCCACAAAAATTGTCAAAGTATTAGTTTAAGTGATGCTAACTCCCACCTGCAGGTGGCAGTATTTCTTACTTTTACAACTTTGCTGCCTGAAACTGAAAATTTGTTTGAGCGAATAAATTGTTCTTTGTTGCATTTTTTCTCCTGTACACATTCAAAAATATATATAAAAGCAATAAAGAAAAGCATTTCTCACTCACCAGGTTGGGGAGCGCGATCATCATAAAGGTGTTTCTGGGCCAGATGTGCAGGTAGTTCGGCTTCATAGCGAACTGCAGATGAAGGTGGAAATAAGCTAAGATGTGAAAGAGCAAAGCCTGATCTGATCTGAGCCTCAAGCCGCCGTAAAACCCGCCTGACCTCCCCGTTTCTCGGCGGCATGGTGAGCTCCATGTATCCGTGCGGGATGTACGTCTGGCTGTAGTTGAAGCGGCTGCGGCGCAGGAACTGCTTCCGGACGGCGGAGAACGCTCCGTCGCAACCGACGATCAGGTCCGCTTGAGTCTGCGTCTTGGATCCGTGCGGCCTGAAAATCAGATACTTCCACTTAAATATGATCAAAGTGAGACCTACGATTATTTTAATAATCAATTATTCTATTGATTAATCGGATGAAAAAATTCAACATTCTGTAGATTTTTAACGTAACCACTGAAGTCTTGCTTTAAAGAGGATTCAGACTTTAATATCAGAATTCAATCAAGCAAATCTAGTCATAAGACTCAAATCACGGGTCAACTGGGTCAATCACAGAACCAAGAAGAAATATTTATGTGATTATTTTTATATGCCAACACAATAATTGACATGATACACCTAAGAACGTTTGGTTATTTATTTGAATTTTGACATAAAATTAAAATTCTGAGAAAAATTTAGAATTTTGAGAAACATTTCTTTTTGTTCAGTGTTTAATTCTCTTCCATATAGAGCATATTGACAAAGGTTTTTTATCTTAAATTGAAATATTTTTGTGCAGTTTTGTCTTAATTGCTGCTCTGTGTGTTATTATTTGAGTCCAGTTAACGATTAATTGATCACTGAAGTAACTGAAATTCCTAGCGATTAATCTGATTAATCGTTTCAGCCCTGAATTAAAGCAACTCTTCCACCTGAATTCAATCCAAATGTTTTAACAATCTGTTTTTTCGCCTGGGGGATCATTAATTTACACTTGAATAATTTAAGGAGCAGCTTGTTGAAGCTGCATAAACAGACTGACGCCCTGGTTCATAGGAAGACTTTTTTAATGCCTACTTTTAAAAATGTGCAGAGGACTGCAGATTAATGAGTGATGGAACAAGCAAACACACACAGATGTATTTTTATTTAATTGCAGCACAAATTTGAATATATTTATTGAGTTTTTACATGATTGACAAACACAATATAGCTGATAATCATGAGCAACACTTTCCAGATTTTGTCTTTACCAGCTTTAGATACTAAATTATTTCCAGTTTTTTCTTTGTAAAACACCTCAGATTGAATGAAATGTGTATTGGATCAGGTTATGTCTGTACTTTGACTGGGCCATTCTGACACACAGTTATTCTTTGACCTAAACCACAGATGTAGGATGATTTACGGCTCACATTTTTGATTTTTGCTTGTGAAACAACAACTAACGTACAATGACGTTTGTGACTGCAGTTTGAGGAAATGTGAAACTGTAACACATCACACTGTAAAAAGTAATCTTAAAAAAACAATAAAAATTATCTGCCAACCGAACAAGAAAATGAGACTTGTCAAAACTTTCCAAAATAAGTAAAAATACCTTGAAATTAATGTTTTGTTTTTATAAGATGACTATTTTTATTCATACAAATAAGATATGAGACTTATTTTCAGAACACGTAGATATCCTTGAATTATGAAAATAGTATTTGACATGTTAAGCATTATATTTCTTGAAACCAGAAAAGATACACAAAAAAGTGTACTTTTACTGATACAAAAGATTATCGTAAATTGTTTGTTTTTTTTTCATTGCATATTTTACTTGTTTTTTTTGGTCATTTATTTATATTTAGACAAAGAGCATTTCTTTCTTTTACACCTTTTTCAGCTACATCAAGCCTCACAGTCACTTCAGGTGTGAAAATAAAAAAATCACTTTTATAGGTGGTAAATAACAAGACAGATACAGTAAAGCTTAATGCATTTTATAGTTCATAAAGCTCTCCACCTTCAATACAGCAAAAACTCACCTCTGTATCAGTCAGGAGGTGCTACAATACAGCAGAAACAAAGAAAATCTGTCAAAATTGACTTTGCAAAACACTGAGGGTGTTCATATATCTGCCTCCTTCTGCAGAAAACTCATTTCATTCCTACAGGGTCGAATAAAAGAGTAATTACAGCAGCCAGTAGACATAACCCACAGTGGTATTTTTTTTTAATGATAAATCTTTCAAACCTTTTCTGTCTTTTTCTCTAATTACGCAGCCATTAGATTTAACCTCTCTGTTAGGTGGAGCCTGTCGAGTCTGAAATGAATTACTGGGCTTTGTTTCCTGAGCTCTGCCTGCTGGAACCATAGGAGAAAGGAACTTTGGAAATCGTCTTGAACGGTTGTCACTGTTGCACAGTCGACTGCAGCTTGTTTTTAATCATTTTAACACATTTTAGCACCAGCAAACAGACATTTTTATCGCTAAAGCTGATCTTGATCATGTTATGATAGTTTTATGGGAAATAAAAAACATGTTCATTACCTTTTTTAAACAAAGTTATTCTTAAATAGTGAGATATTATCTCACTATTTAAGAATGAGCTCTTTTAGGGCGTCATGTCACTTTAAATAAAAATAAATTGCTGTTAGCCACGCCCGCTAACTCTAACTTTATGCAGCAAGTGAATTATGGATGGCAGGTCAACAAGAGAAAGCTTGTCTTTTCCAAGAACGCAGCTCTGATTGCTAGGTAACAGGCAGTGCTAGGTTGGGGTTGCTAAGTAACGGGCAGTGCTAGGCTGGGGTTGCTAAGTAACGGGCAGTGCCAGGCTGGGGTTGCTAAGTAACAGGCTGTGCTAGGCTGGGGTTGCTAAGTAATGGGCAGTGCCAGGCTGGGGTTGCTAAGTAACAGTGCCTGCTGATTTGTGATGTTGCATTCCAAAGGTTTTTAACGCGACTCATTTTTCAGACTCAAAAAAACATAAAGTTATTGCTAAAAAATGGCCGGTTGATTTTGTTTTTTAAGTGCTTCAGCTGCTTTTAGGAGCAGCAGAAACTCAAATGGAAGTACAAAAATGTGGAAAAATATGAATTTGGCATAAAAAGTAACATTAGAACCCAACAGATAAAAAGTATACTTTAACCTAGAACTTAATATTTTTTGTACCCCTAATAAATAAAAATAAGTACACTCTGTACACATGTTTTGTTGGCTCTACTGAAAAAATAAAGGCAAGAATTTCCACTCAGTTACCAATATTGCCTATTATTAACTAAATAATAGTTAATAATTATTTTATTAACTAAAATAAAATAATTAATAATAATTATAAGAAAAACCAATATTTCTTGGTTTTCTAAACCAAGAAATATTTGGTGACTTACGTGACTTACTTCACCTCCCAAACCAAAATTAAGTTGAATAAATCTAATATTAATTTAGAATTTCTGGTAATATTAAGTTGAAAAATTACACTAACCACGTTACTCTAACTTAATTTTATTTTTACATGTGCTCATGACTACAGAAGTAATTTGGTTCCAAAGTTATTAAAGTAACTTTTCAAACCGCATAAAATCACTTTTTCCAACTGATTAAACAGTTTATTGGAAATGTTCTGTAATTTTAAGTTCAATAGCCATAATAACATCTGTAATCAAAAGCATTGCTAATAATAGCAGGTATGTAACACAAGGAACGACAAAGCATCTGGGGTTGACCTGTTCGTATGGGGGGGTTCCAAAATGAAAATCTACTTAGGGCCCCGAAAAGGCTTTGGCCGGCCGTGTCAATACAAATCAATACCAAACATTTCAAGATATTCTAAGCTAGATTCTCCCTCCACTTTGTGTTGGTCTGTCTCATAAAACCCCAGTAAAAAACAACAGTGGAAAAAGTTAAAGGAGCGGGAAAACGTCTGCACGGAGCTGTGGGCGTTAAAATAAATGGATATTTTTTAATTTCCAGATAAGACTGCATTTAATTTGAGAATCTGTGTACAACAGTTTGTGCTTCTGCCTGGTGCTTTAATTATGAGCAGAAGCGCGAATCTTCCCACCCGAAAAGAGCTGGAGGTGTTTCAGGGTTAACTGGATTGTAAATTGTGCGTCACATTTTCCTCGGGACACTCAGTTATGAAAAAACAAATTAATTACTCACAGCCTTTAAAAACACAACAAGTCTATTACATTTCTAAACCCTCGTCAGCTAACAGTGTTTTTCAAAGTGGTGCCTCCAGGGGGCGCTCAGAAAGTTGAAGGGAAGATGAGAAAAAAAAACAATGATCTGTCAGAGTTGGTGTATGGATCAACATTTTTTATTATTTTTATTTTTGCTGAACCCAAACACCAGATTCTGCAGCACATCCACATTTAAGGTTGTCAAAGTCAAGCTAGCATAACTGACCTACTTCCCTCTCCCTCGCTATTTTTTTTTTTTTTACTTAAAACATTTTTCTGACCTGGTTATCTAGTTGTCATAGTGTTGACAATTAGTAGCAAAGTATTGTGCCCCTTGTTCATTTATATATCAGGTGAACATTTAAGATTTAGCTCGTTGTGTTGACAACTTGACAGCTAATGCTAGTCATCGTAGGCAGCAGCTGTTTGTCCGTTTTGGGGGAAGAATCTTACACCCCTGATATCAGGATGAAAATTATCAAGAGGGGATTGTAATGACAATTTGTATTGTCTGGTAATAAAGTATTAATATATTATCTAATAATAAAATTTTCCGCCACAGAATTCATGGCCATTTAAAACTAGAAAGTATCAGGTTAGCATTTTTGCTAACTTAATGTAATAATTCTGAAACTTTTTGTTTCCTTACATATTTTATAGTTTTGTCCGTTTGCAAAAGGAATCCTCTCTAGGGCGATGACCAGAGCTGGGTAGCAACTAATTACATTTACTCAATTACATTTAGTTAATGAGTAACTTCTTTTGAAAAATATACTTTCAGTACATCTCTTTAAAAAAAAAAGTTACTCAATGTAACTTTCTTTGAAAGTTTCCCTGGCAAAGCTTAAGTACAGTGTATTTTAGTACACTGTACTTTTTACTTTTATTTGAGTAATTTTATTATAAAGTATTTCTACTCTTACTTGAGTAAAATTTCAGTATTTTCTTCCCACTGAATCACAAGCAAACATGTTTTAACCTGAAATTCACCAGACCTACACCTGAGGCTTTTGTTAAGGTTTTAATTGAAAGAAACTGATTTGGAAAAAAATATTTTGCACGATTTTGTTTTGTTTTTTTTACTTATATGAATTAATGTCATTTTTGTCCTTAAAATATTAAAATTTCCACTTAGTTTTATAATTTGGTCCATCTGATGGTATAATGTTTAAATATTAAATGATTCCTAATTTGTTCAGTTTCTCACTACTTGAGTAGACTTTTTACCAAATACTTTTTTACTCGAGTAATTTCTTAGATGGCTGCTTTTTACTTTTATGAGATAAATCTTTAGCTGCTCACCACCCCCAGCATGGAGGTGTCTCTGCAAGCGATCACTAACCATTTACCTGCCGAAGGTCATTAGTCCGGTTTCAGCATTCCAGTCCTGCAGTTTGTGGTCGAAGTTCAGCTTTGTGTTTGGATACGTCTCTGCCGCTGTGAGTTACAAAAACAGCTTGTGATGCAACAGCAGCTGCCATGTCTTCTTACAATACACCCGAAACTTTTACTAAGCTAAAGAGAGGGTCAGCAAAAACTGAACGATCATCAATGGAGCCGCGGAGCTGCAGCTGGGATCTGTGCAAACTGATGTTTTTGGGTTTTCACACTGTGAAATCTCTTTATCTGCAGATCAGCAGCCGCCTGAATCAACTACGATAAGAGCAGCGACAATCTCTGCCAGTGCATCCAGGCAGTCTAATTAAAAACAGAGCCAAGCTGCCACACTTTAACTCTAAGAGGCTCCTCATTAAATATTAGGAAAAAATCCTTACAGCTACGAAAAGAAAGGAAAACACATCCCCTTATGTCGCCTATTTAAGGAATGCCAGGAAACATAAATGGAGAGAAAAGTGCCAAAATCTGGACAAACGATAAAAAAGCAAATACTTTATAAAGACCTGTGACAATAAGTAACAAAACAATTTTAATACAATTAAAGGAGATCCTAAAAGTCCAATTAAAACCAAGATATCTGGCTAAACTGGTTGATATTTAACTTAAACGATAAACCAGGTTTTTATTACTTTAAATGCAATTTTGATGTTGGTTAACGTCAAGTTGTTCAGTTCAGTTCATTACAGTTCAGTTTGAATAAATCCAGTTAAAAAAATAATCGCTTCAGCTAAACTTATCCAGTTCAAATTCATTTTAGTTCAGTTTTCTTTGCTTTTAGTTCTGTTAAGATATACTTAGCTCAGATGACTTAAATTCAGTTCAGTTTAAAATTTTCAGTTGAAATAAATTCAGTTAAAAATAATTGCTTCAATTCAAATTAAGTTATTCAGTTCAGTTTGGTGCAAATTACATGAATTCATCTCAGTTCAGTTCGTCTTAGTTTATTTCCGTTAACTCACTGAATCAATTTGATTTAAATTATCCAATTCAGTTCAGTTTTTTATATTTATTTTTTTAAGGTTTTATTGGCTCTAGTGGCCTTTTTTTTTATTTGATAGTTAGTTGACAGGAAGGTGGGTAGCGAGAGAGAGGGAGGACATGCGGCAAGGGTCACCAGGCCGGGAATTGAGCCTGTGACAGCCGCGTTGAGGACTGAGGCCTCCATATGTGGGTTGTGCTTAACCCCTGCGTCACCACAGCACACCCCCAATTCAGTTCAGTTTAATGAAAATTTTATTAATTTAGTTCAGTTTACTTCAGCTTTTTTTTAGTTAGGTTTAAAATAAATTCAGTTCAGTTTTAATTAGTTCAGTTCAATCCTGTTTTATTGAATTCAGTTTGGTTTAAACTAGTTCAATTAACCAATTTAATTTCAATTAAATAATTCAGTTCAGTTTAAATACATTTGATTAATTAAAGAAATCGCTTCAGTTAAACTCAAATTATGGATTTTAGTTCAAGTCAATGCAAATTAAACAAATTCAGTTTATTTTAGTCCAGTTTAAATAAAGTGAGCTCAAGTGGATTAATTCAGTTTAGTTTAACTAATTTCAGTAAAATACATTTTTAGAAGCAGCAGTTCAATCCCATCTAGTTATAAAACAATGCAGTCAGATGCAGTTAGCATTAAGCTAACAGAAAAACAAATATGAACATTAAATATCATTCCTAACTGAGCAGCAATGCAAATTATAATTTAGAAAAAAATAATAAAATGCACATTATGAAGTTGAAAGAATGAAAAGAAACCACATTTGGCCTTTTTAATCAGAAAACTAGCAAGTTTAATTAGTAGAAATGTGTCCAGTATTACAATTTTATCAATATTCACTAATTATTTAACCTCTAGCCACATTCCCAGAGGGGTGATGCATCTGTAAACCGCTTTTACTCCAACTTCTTTCTGCAGATGATGTAACAAAAAATAGGTCATAACTGGATGTGTCTAATTCAGACATGATTCGTCTATTTTCCATTCTTACCTGTTAGCAGCTCTTTGTTCAGATTGGCTCTGTCAACGGACAGGATGTACTGAAAAGAGAACAATATTTAATGTAGCCTAATCAAACAGAAATGTGAACATGTCCCTTTAGAAGGGAACAGGAAGGCTGCAGGGTTTGTTTGCTTCCTGGTTTTCTGGAATATTTTTGTTTTATTTAACCATGAAGGTCCCTTAATGGGATTATGAGCCTCTGCCAAACTGGCAGCAGGGAAATCATTTCTATTTTCAGACGAGGATCACATTTAAATTATATTTAGTAAAAATATGTAAAAAATGTATATGTAGTTTTAATTTATCATACACTGCAAAAACACAAAATCTTATCGTAATTTTGATCTAGTTTCTAGTGCAAATATCTGACTACATTTGAAATAAGGCGAAACTAAATTACAAATAACTTTTCAGCAAGAAATAGGAGCTTGTTTTAAGTCAATAATTCCTATAACAAGATATTTTCCCATGTTAAGTGAAACAATCTGCCAGTGGAACTGGGTTGCTAGGCGACGGGCTGGGCTTGGCTGGCGTTGCTAGGTAACGATTGTGAAATAAGTGATATACTCTGCAAGTGGAACTAGAACTTTTTTTAATCAATATTGAGAAATTACTTACTTAAAAGCTCCTGCATCTTGTAATTTAATTTTCTCTTTCTAAGATATTTGAGTAGAAACTGGACCAAAAATACTTGGTAAGATTTTGTGTTTTTACAGTGTATTTATTTATCATCCATCTCTAGAAAAGTATGAGATTGAACACAACCCCAAAGCAGAAAGACATCGGCAATAACCTCAGAAAAGCATCTGTGGTTTGTGGAAATTTTATTTAAGACGTCTGGAAGGCTGTGAAAATTTAAATTTAGATTTAAATTTAGTGAATTTAATTTGACCTTTACATTCACTTAAAGGTCAAAGTGTCCAAAGCTAAATTAAATCTAACACTAATAAGAGCCCCCACCAAAAAAAAATAAAAAATATCTGGAAGAATGGTATCTGGGGATGTAAGACCAATGTTACTTCTCAGGCACAGTGGTGGTGGAGTGGTGATGTGGGCTTACGAACAGCAGCAAAAGAACAAAATAACAAAGGTATTGCAAATGGCAAGAGTGACTGAACATCACTGATGGGACTTTAAGATGCAGTTGCAGAAGCTAATATATCCCTCCCCCACAGCCTGATGCTGCCACCACCATGCCTGGGTGTTGGTTTGGTGTTTTCAGGGTGACTTATAGTGTTAGTTTTCCAACAAAAATTGGGCTTTCCTTCTTTTTTTGCTTCATCTTTGATGAGTAAAGAATTACATCTTGTCTCAAATAGTTTATGACTTCCTGATTGATTAAACTTAATTTAAAAGACGCTGCCGTTTTTTTCTTACAATAATATGCTCAATTCTGACCCCAATCTTTGTCCAAACTCTGCAGCAGAACAATGAATATTTTATCTGAAGGCTGAATTTGTACATATGATGCAATCCTTGCAAACTTTTTCCCAACAAGATGTTTCTTGCATAGTAGAGAAATCGTCTTTCATTATGGGAAGCGCTCTCTAAAAATGTGAATGTTTATTTTTTTGTATTTATTATTTATATGAATAACAGATTTCATTGCAACAGAAACTTTTCTAACTCCTAAACTAAAACTCTACCAAAGCTTGTAAACGGCGGCGGTTCTGCAGGTTTACCTGTCCTTTCTTCCCATACGGGATCGGAGATTGTTTCCCACTTAGCGAATGAATCATCCTGGCATTCATCGGGATTCCCTTAGAAACAATCTGGGGAAAAAAAATTGAATAATTAATAGTAAAACACTGAGATGAAACTGTTCAGGATGGACATTATGCACTACTTTTGTGTTGGACCAAAAAAAGTATTTTTAGAAGTATCTTTATTGAACTGCACTTTTTACTTGAGTGATTTTATTATAAAGTATAGCTATACTTACTTGAGTAAAATTTCTGGACACTCTACACCAATTTAAGCTAAAGTAAGATCTCTTGTTCGTTAGAAAAGTTTATTTTCTAATGTATTGTTCTACTGTTCTACCTGCTGTGTCAGATGATACAGAACAAAGATGGCGGCCATAACAGAACGGGAAAGAGAAACGGTCTTAAAGTCCGGTGTGGGACTCAAATTGCACTTTATACGGTTCTTTTTTTAAATATACAAGCTCCTTACGTTTCACTACGGCTACGTTCACACTGCAGCCTGAAGTGACCCGAAACCAATTAAAAAAAAAAAAAAATATGCGACCTGATATTTTAAAATGTGACCTGAATCTGAACGACCATGTCGCATTCATCTGACATGAACGTCACTGATACGCGCAAACGGGAAGAAAAACAACAACCATGGCGCACAATAATGAATATTAAGTTGTAAATGTGCAGACTCCGGGTGGACAACAACTTTAAAATCGTAAGATAAGCTCCACCGTTAGCATCCACGTTTACTTCCGCAAACACAGCTTTACGGCGGTGAGCACGCTCTCTGTGTGACGTTATTGCGCCCTCTACTGCGCATGCGGGACACTTTCAGGTCGTTTGTAGTTCACACTGGAGATCACAAACAAGTCGCATTTGGAAGTGTGAACGACAACGGCAAAAAAAAAAAAAAAAAAGGAAAATTTTACAAAATTTCGGGGCCTCAAGGGGTGCGGTGGGAATTTCACC